TGTCTACTTTCTGAATGAAGGCCTGATTCACCACAGCAACCTGTTTGGAGCATACCATCCATTTTCTAATAATAAAATACGATCAATGAATTTTTCCATTAAGAAATCATTTTTCACATAAATTTCATCTTATTTATACAATAATTTTGTGAGGCTCGAAACTGATTACACACTGAGCTTCAGTTTTTTTAACTATAACACTAGTATAACCAAAATACAACACATTTCTTACTGCGCACAGTAAAGCATTTTTGGCCTCAATTACAATATTTAAGCACAGAGTGATTTGCAAAAATGCTGGACCTGCTTTCAGATAGACCCTGCACTACACTGAGTGCTACACACATCCCAACACTAACAGAGCACTGGCCAACCAAAGCAGACAGTGTAAACACATCCCAGTGCTTTCTCACTTCTCTTGTACCTTCCCTCAACATTTCATGTCGGCCCATTTCCTGCACTCTTGTCCAGTCCACTCCATCTCCCCTTGCAAACATGCAAGAGGAGGTGGAATTTCCACCAATTACCATGAAGAGTTTAAACATCATTACTTCCTACTACAATGGATACACAATGCCAAATGAGCATGGAGGAAACCAGTTTACAAATGAGAGGACTTTCATTTTGCCAAGTATGTATTTTGTGATTCACTCCAATTACACTTTGCTCCCTTTTCCACACATCTAATTAAATGATTTCAAAGGAAATATTTGGGTTCCATCATAATCCAAATCATACAGTTAAAGTCAGAAGCTTCCATACCTCTTAGGCAAATACATTTAAACTTGGTTTTTTATAACACCTGACATTTAAACCTAATAGCATTCCCTGTCTTAGGCCCAATAACTACTTTATTTTAAAAATGTGAAATGTCAGAATAATAGGATATAATAAGGATTTATTTTTTCATCACATTCCCAGTGGGTCAGAAGTTTGCATACACTCAGTTAGTATTTGATAACATTGCCTTTAAATTGTTTAACTTGGGTCAAATGTTTGAGGATGCTCTCCACAAGCTTTTTACAATATGTCGCTAGAATTTTAGCCCATTCCTCCTGACCGAACTGATGGAACTGAGTCAGGGTTGTAGGCCTCCTCGCTCACACTTGCTTTTTCAGTTCTGCCCACAAATTTTCTATTGGATTGAGGTCAGGTCTTTGTGATGGCCACTCCAGTACCTTGATGTCACTGTATTGAGATGTTGCTTCAATATATCCAGATAATAATCTTCCTTACTCGTGGTGCCACCTATTTTGTGAAGTGTCCCCCCCCCCTTTAGGTCAGCCTGTGAGCCTCTCCCTTTTTACCCAAGCCATGACAGTGGTCACTGTGACCAAACAGTTCAATTTTTGTTTCATCAGACCAGAGGACATTTCTTTGTTCCCATGTGCAGCTGCAAACCACAGTCTGCCTTTTTTATGGCAGTCCTGGAGCAGTGGCTTCTTCCTTGCTGAGCAGCCTTACAGGTTGTGTTGACATATGACTCGTTTTACTGTGGATATAAATACTTTGGTACCTGTTTCCTCCAATGTCTTCACAAGGTTCTTTGCTGTTGTTGTGGGACTGATTTGTACTTTTCAGACCAAAGTATGTTCATCTCCAGGAGACAGAACATGTCTCCTTCCAGAGCAGTATGATGGCTGCATTGTCCATTGCTGTTTATACTTGCTTAGTATTGTTTGAACAGATGAACGTGGAACCGTCAGGCATTTGGAAATTGCTCCCAAGGATGAACCAGATTTCTTTCGATTTCTCCACGGTGTCAAACAAAGAGGTTCTGAGTTTGAAGGTAGACCTTAAACTACATCCACAGGTGCACCTCCTATTGACTCAAATGATGTCAGAAGCTTCTAATGACATCATTTTCTGGAATTTTTCAAGCTGTTTAAAGAGCCCATGGCATGCTCATTTTCAGCCATTTAATGTTTCATCTTAGATACTTCTAGATTAATCTTGCATCCATCATAACTCCAAACAACCTGTAATAATTTAAAAATGATAAAACCCAATATCACAAGCCAAGCCTCCTCCTGAAAAAGAGAGGATAGTTTGTGAATGCACACAACTCCTATTGCCAGTCAGGAAGCTACAACAATGCATAAACAAAAAAACTTTTGACAAATAAGATACTTTTTTGACAGTGACAGTATCTTAAATCCTACCTGACATGATCAAAACAGAATATGAAAGTGGACAGTGCAATAGCATTAATTCATTTGAATTTCTGCTCCATAGTTGGGTAAACAATGGTAAATGTACCAATGAAAAGAGATTTGTAGCACTTTAAACAAAGTGGGTAATTGAGAAACCCCATATTTTAACTGGCATAATGCAGACATAGTAACTTCTCCAGCCTTACAACAATTCTCTCTACAGAAACAACACATTAACAGGCATGCAGCATGATTTTTTCTACTTACCATTACATCCTACCGAATAGTGAAAACTTCGAGGCCAGTAAATCTGACCCATGATCACTACGTCTTCTCCCACATATCCCTCACATTACAGGTGACCTCATAGAATCCCAACAGGTATTTTTGCAACGACAATAACATCATTGCTCATTAGAATCCACTGGTTAACCAGCAACACATCACATATAACAGACACACTGGCTTCAAGCTGTCAAAACAAACAGGTACTGTGCTCTGGGGGAATCCAGCATTGAACAGCTGATCACTCAATGCCCCAGGGGGCTTCACTAGCCGGCTGCTTGTAGGTTAGACCCGGTCAGGTAAAACAGTGAGTCCCTGTACATGAACATTCCCAGACAAGCAGTAACCTCAGACCCTGTATTCTTCTCCACATCCTCTGGTCATAGTGCAGGCAGCAGGAGGGAAAATATATCCACAAAACTGTGTGCAGTCGAAAAAATCCTACTTTCAATATGGCACTGGTGGATGTCAGGTAAGCTCGTATGAACGTACAACTGCCTGGAGCTAATGACCATTCAAGGAAATCTGTGAACTATTGCCTAGGACTTTACATAGCTGGAAAAAAATCTTGCCAGTGAAAGTTCACAAGACCTGTATAAACCAAGCTGATTCTTCATAGAGATACAAAGACATGGATACACCTTGTTTTTTGAGCTTTCAGTCATGTTTAAGATGACAATTCATCACTGTAACATTGTAGATAAGTCAGAAAACACATAAAAGCATGTCATGGGCACTTTAAAGACACAGTCAACTACTGTAAGTATATGTACATTTCTGAGCCACTGGAATTGTGGTATAATAATAATAATAAACTTTATTTATATAGCACTCTACAACTCTAAGGAGCCCAGAGTGCTGCACAATAAAACACATATACCAAATGTAAACCATGCTAAAACAATCAAAGCTAAACACATTAAAACACAGATTTCTAAAACTGAATTATAAAAGTATCATGCCAAAGTAGAAGTAACATAGCACAACAAGATAAAACAACGTTAACAGGGGATGTGAGAGCGGATTAAGCATAAAAAGCCTGCATAAAGAAATGGGTTTTTAAAGCCGACTTAACTCAGTCTTAAACCGTATCTCTAGAGGAAGGGAATTCCAGAGGCTGGGGCCATATACAGCAAAAGAACAGTTGCCCCATTTTTTTATATCGAGCTCGTGGGACAACCAGGGACAATTGTTCTGAGGAGTGAAGGGCTCTACGTGGAGCGTACCTGGACAGAAGGCCCAACAGGTACGGCGAAGCGAGTCCGTGGGTAGCCTTAAAAACAAATAAACACGTCTTAAATTTAACTCTGTACTGTATTGGGAGCCAGTGTAAGGAATGAAGAACCGGGGTAATATGAGCATACCTGGGGGAGTTTGATAGATTATTTCACTTAGAATTCATTATATCTGTAAGCAACTGTTGGAACAATTACTTGTGTCATGTATAAAGTACAAGTTCTAACCAACTTGACAGAATGAGAGTTTGCTAACATCACATCTGTAGAGTGGTTAAAAAATTACTTCAACCTAAGTGTATGTAAACTTCTGAATTCAACTGTACAACCTTCCTATTGCCATGGCCATTGATCTTTTTTGTCCATATTTTAGAAGATACACATGAGGAAATAATCTAGTTTTTGGTTTATTTGTTTTTGGTGTCATGCATTTGTAAGGACAGTTGAAAGTACTAAACACTTAGAGAAGAGACATGTAAATAAATATCCATGATGAGGGCTGTTTCCCATCACACAGTTACTATCAAGTGACACAGGGCAATTAAGAGGCAGTGTGTGTGGTCTCAGAAATACAAAATATGACCAATGTATGTATGCATACAGGTTTACAGTAATGCCTGCAAAGTGATAGCATCAGATAATTAATATTGCACTAAAAGTGCAATTGTAGCAGGATTACATCAGTGAGTCACACACTTTATAAATCAAAATGAGGAATAAAATCATTTTACCTACCTTACTATTATAATACAGTTTCTCATTAGTCCAGTGTGTGGTGAAATTCCAGTAACAGTGATATGGCTGAGGAGCCCCCATGCTGATGAGGCATTGGAGACTTAGGCAGCAATAGAAACATTACCATGTCTTCATACACCTAAACGCAGAAGGAACAAGTTTCCAGTTAATTCATGAACGCACCGTTACCAAGCGTCACGTGTGTAGAGATTACTCTTTTGTTTATCGGGGTACGTTAATGCCCTCAGATTTGTCTCTTCGGCATCGTAAATAGTGTGATAAGATTATCATTGAAGTAAAAAACAACAACAAAACGATTCGTCTAAAGGCATTACGCCTCATTTGAACATTCAGTAAAAGTCTTAAATACCATATGTGACATACAGTATTGCTGCCATACTCACGTTTCGGAACTACGATGCTTAATTATAAAGCTCGTAGCAGGATCTCTTTTGCAATGTGCACATAAGATTGCAGTTGTCTGCATTCAACAAGTAATTAGCTAGACTAATCAACAAGCAGAAAAACGGGGCTCCTTTACTTACTATCTGTAGGTATTGTTATTGTTTCTTGAAAGGCCACCGACCTATTTTGCGTAAATGCAAGCTGTTTTCAGCCTGACAGACTAAACTCGGGGTATGTGTAATACCACAGCAGTCCTTCAGTTTACACTGTTAAGGTAGCGTTGATAGCTACGCTAGCTGGTTTTTCGGCGTCGGTGACGTTGCTAACGGCAAACTGCGTTCTAACCTGACATGACTATACTATGTATCCATTGTGTTTGTTCAGCTAACTTAGCTGATTATTTTCTAAATGTGTGAGGGAGGTGACAGAAGCGCGAGAGAGCCTTGCCATTAACAAAAACCACAACCAGCAGTAGCTACGGGTAGTCTTGACCACAGTTGCCTCTTGCTAGCTGAAGTTCCTCATCCGTCTGTAAATGAGGTAGCGTGGCAATTTAGCTACCAAGGTGGTGGATACATGTCTACCTCTCAACCACGAAAGGGAAATCTTGCAGTTCATGTTTCGCCAAGAAGTCGGTGTGACGTCTTTTATTCCATCTTGTTCGTATCTTTTTCGACACCGGAAAGGGAATATGTCCAGATATAACATATACAGTTTGCTAGACTGGATCTACGGCGGGGTGGACCCCAAGTTTGAAGGCAACGGGGGGTCTAAGTGTGCCGCCTTCATTGCGCCCCAGCAGCGCATCAGTGAAAGTCTGGTCATCGTCTTCATCTCCTTGGTGGAGATTGGCCTGGCACTGAAGAAAATAAATGTCTCCAAAGAGTTCACAGTGGTGGGGAAAGACTGTATACGGGCAAAGGAGGATAGTCTGGGAAAGAACCTGTTGCTGGTTGCCCTCTGCTTGACTTTTGGGGTGGAGGTTGGGTTCAAATTCTCGACCAAGACTGTGATATATCTGCTAAATCCATGCCATGTCGTGACCATGATTCAGGTAAGGAAGACACGGCCGATTTGTGTTCGTTAAGGCTACGTGAATTTGTGGCCACCCTCAGGGTGAATTGCTAAAATGTCAGCAACAGCTACCTAATTTATATGAAGACACTTGTATTTATCATATTTTGTTTCAAACACACTGGGTGATACATGTGGTTGAATTTAAATTTTAATTTATATTGTTATATATTAGTTGACTCTGATGACACTATTTTCAGCAGCCACGTATTAGCCTGACCTCGCCCTTTTACAGTATGGTGAAACGCCAAGGTTAGAATTTACATTCCATGTTACCTAAGCATTTTCAGTTTCCTTAAGATACATATACACTGCTTGTCATTTGAGCACCACGGAAACTGTAGTGCAAAAACTTAATTCAGTGTCTGTGTGAATAAAAAAATATTCATATGGGGTGTTAAGTTTTTTTGTTTGTTTTTGTTTTTTTATTTTTTTTTGTTAGTCGTTTTGTCTTTTTTGCCTCAACCTAGACCATGATTAGGTACAGTCAAAACCTATGTATCATAACACTGTTATTAATAATTAGACAAATAAGGAAAAGAAACATATATTGCGTGTATAGCACATTTAAAGGTACTCAAAAATCTGACAGCGTAGCAAATGAACAATAAAAATCACAAACATTTGACCTTTGCTCTGATGAAATAAGACGTGTCAAATTCAGCACATCAGCTATGCAATAAAAGCTGGATTTTATCTTTGTTTAGAACCCATTTGAAAGTTTATGACTGCACAGATCACTGGTTTTTGATTCATTTGAATCATAGTTTACAACACAGGTGTTCTCAGTTCTCATTGCTGACGTGAGAGTATACTGTACATTTTATACATGCAGTATAAGCACTGTACATACACTGCTGCATTGTTATTAATGGTACATGGGTGCACACCACAAGTTATGGTAACAGGTCACCGTCAGTTGCATTTTAATCTATGTGTCATAGCACGGTATTGACGTATTCTCATTATTTCAGATTACATGGAGGTAGTGTGATTGTCAGATTTGGCGTATAAGGACGTCAAACGGTGTTAGTGGTGGACTCAATTATAAAACCAGACGAACTGATTGAACGAAAAGGTTTTTACTTGTGAGAGAAATTGAACTCAGGTGCGATAAACCAGTGTTTTGACAGGGGGGCAAACACTTGTTCACACAGGGATCTATAGTTTTGGATTTTGTTTTCCCTTAATAATAAAAACCTTCATTTAAAAACTGCATGATGTGTTTACTTGTGTTATCTTTGACTAATATATAAATTTGTTTGACGATCTGAAACATTACAGTGTGACAAACATGCAAAAAGATAAGAAATCAGTAAGGGGGCAAACACTTTTTCACACCACTGTAGAACAGTCTGGCAGGGATAGGAGTGTGAAGGCTGCTTATATTACGGTGCAAACAGGTGCAGACTATCGGGAGCAGGTGAAACAAATGTAAGTGATTAGTGAACGTAAAGTGACCGAAACAGAGGTGAAAAACAAAAACAGGAAGTAACGTAAAACTAAAAGCCTGACAGGAAGCACCGGAACCGAATCGTGACAGTGATAGCCAGTGGACACTAATGAATTACTAACTTTGTTTGACTGTCTGCTTGTATTGACTCATAATCTGACTCCACTTGTGAGGTCTTCATTAGAGATGGTGGATCTGCAGTATATGGGTGTGGTACTTTACAACTCTTTCAGACCTGTTGGAAATAGTTCAATAAAAATAAGGACTGCAGATTTTTCTAAGGGGCCATTTTATTCCTGTCTGTTTTTAGCTTTTTAAGTTAACTTAGCAACTATGCATAAAAACTAAATTATTTGTAGAATTAAAAGCAGATTTTATAGGCTGGAAATTGTAAAGGTAAAATTCCCTTTGGTGCCAGGTGACAAGTTATGTGTTGCTGTAGCTATAGTTGCAGCCGACATTCAAAGCAGCTGTGCTTCAGGGGATGGTCAGGTGTGCTCGGGAAGGGAAACAAAGTCAAAAGGGGGCTTTTGCACTCCGAATGTTCTCATTTATTTTTACTTATTAACTTATAATGGCTGAGCACACCTTCTTCAGTTTGAGTACACCATATTACACCTCAGGTATTTCTATCTACTCATTGTGACCACAGAAGGTATTACTGATAATGCTGAGTAGTACTGGCACATGTCACTTAAAAACGCAACAAAGACCAAACTAGTGAAAGTCTAAAGAAAAAAATCAGCAAAGCTACACAGAAGCAAACAAAATCATACATAAATTGCCAGTGTACATACGGTAGTAGCTTTAAACAAATAAACTCATTTGTAAATTAAATCAACTAAAAACCTCTAGCATCTGAACTGCAGCTGCAGGCCATCATATGCAGTCTAAAATATCAGAGGCTTTATAAAATGGTGTGAAAGTGCATGCAGGGTCTGAAATTAACAGGCGCCAAATGTGGGTAGATTTTCCATTTGGCAGTTAAATCTCAGAAGACTACCCACCATACTGGTGAGTAAATGTTTGTAGCAAAATAGTCTAGTAATTAAGTGGTATCCTGAGACTGACCCCCCTGTTTCTGTCTGTGTCACAGTTTGAGACACATACACACCTGTATTCTGTGAAGAACCACCCCTACTCTGCCTCAGATTGGCTTTCTGAGCCAAATATAAAAATACATTTTACTTCTACATGTAAAGTGGAGGAAAGCCTAACAATTGCGCTCCAAAAATTGACATTAAATTTTATTACAGGCAGCAGTTATTACATATACGCATCACGTTATAATGCTGTAAAAATTAGCTGATAATCATTTGAATATTTTAGAAAAAAAAATTTGCTGTGCGTCACCACTAGGGGTTTGAAGGTGCATGTATTCACACTGCTCGTTTTGGTACAGGACTTTAGGTACAGTTCAGATGTGTATTGAATGCAGTCTTTAATAATAGTTAACAGTATCCTTGTTTAGCATTTGGAACTTTTTTTTTACAAATGTACCTACATGTACATATTGAATGGCAGACTGGAGTGCAGTAAACATCAATAGCACGCTTAGCTTAGCCAGCCCTCTGGCTAGCGAAAGTCATGGTCAATACAGACGAGAAGCCAAAGGTAGAAGACCTTTTCTTATCATTAAAATTTACCGTTTGGGAACCCTTCTGCTTCTAGGTGAAATACAACATTGGACAAAGACAAGTGGATAAGATATCTTTTTTGTTTATTGTTTGCTGAAAGAGGACATGAAGTTAATTGGGGTGAGGATAGAGTTAGGTGGACACAGATGATTCGCTGTGGCGACCCCTAATGGGAACAGCCGAAAGAAGAAGAAGATTTAATGACTATTTGAATATTCAAAAATCACTGCCCATCTTTGCTCTATATCTATCTTGTCAGGAATAAGATTTTACATGAGACTGTTAGTGAAGGCCACTGTTATTATTAGCATCTTATTCATGATGGGTTGTCATTACTGTAGAAGTGCTATGTCCCATACAATAGACTTAAAAATTGAATTTAAGTGACCTTTCTTCCTTGATGGGTCACAGTGGTTGTCCTGTGCGACTAAACATATTGATTGTCTAAAACAGTGATAGATTCTCCCTTTTTGTTCCGCTGATGAGGTTAAATATTGGTACAGGCTCCAGAAAACAGTGACTCTTCCCTCTTCAAAATGGGCCTTTGAATACATTTAATAAGGGTTTAAAATACCGTAAAGCTGCTTAATTAACTTTGACTTTGCATTTATCTCTGTTCCATAGGTTGCATAGGTTCCATAGGAGCTTGTCTATATCACTGTTTTAGCATTGTCATCGAATACAGACGCATTTATCAGCTGTAGCAATAACAGATTGTTGACTTAGTCATTCAGATAACACTGAAAGCACTATACTGTAGTGCTTTATGACTCCACATGATAAAGGAGGTGTAGCTTATCAGTAATGAGGTCTGTCAGTCTGTTAAAAAAAAGCCATTCATCTTTCTTTTTAACAGAAATTTTCCTTCTAGCTTGATTAATCATTATGCAGTTACAGCTGTACTTTGACTTTCAAATTGCTTTGCAAGAATGTGAAAAATGTTGTTGCTGAAAGATGTGGGCATTAAGTTTCATTGTGTTGTACCTCCAGACAAGTTTATGTTTCAGTAGTAAAATTAATAGAGAGAGGCAAACATTAGAGTTAATTGTGTCTTTTATGCTGTAACAACAGTGTCAAGGCCGGTTTGACTGATAACTGTGATTGTGCATGTGGAGACAGCCTGGGCCAAATTGTTGATGGGTGCTGCAGAAGCTAGGGCACAGTGTCACAATGAAGGAATTTCGCTTGTGGTATTTTAGGGTGGCTTGACACTGATATTACTGCCATTTTTGCCACTGTTGTTTTTGCAAATTTTGCAAAGGCTATTATAGTCAGGTGTTAGTCCTAGGCTATACTGTATACATGAAATTCATTGTTATTGTAATTATGCATGCATTGTATTTTTAAATGCCAAAGACGACAGTTTTAAAACAAATTAAATACTTGTTTATTGGCAATTGTACAGTTGTGGACAGCAAAGTAAGAATTTCATTGTACAGGTAAATGCGTTATCTTTATGTGCACATGACAATAAACACTTTGACTTGACTTGTTAAATGCAAAACAGAAGAACAGAGAAGGGCAGTGAGGTGCCATAAAAATGCAAGTAGGCTATATCTTTTCTCCTTTATAAAAAAAAAGATTAAACCTATCATAGCCTAGGCAAAATATATACATTTTATATTGAAATTGTTTATGTTAAATCTTTTAAATGCAAATCTCCATAGGCCCACAAACCACAACCTTAATTACATAAAAAGGATATTTGTATGGATGGGACAATATGATTTTTTTTTTTTATATGATTTGATGCACAATATGGTGTGTACAGTCTGATTCGGTCATCATACAATTAAAAATTCAGTTATAACAGTGTATGACTGCATTGACTTATGTTCTTGTATTTACAAAAAATATGAAGTCAGTTGTGCATGGAGACGACACAATATA